CCTCCCCTGCCATTAAAATGTGTTCCAGAAATGTGTAGGGTCCTTTTTTTTATGTTTTTTCTTTTTCTACTCCACTTCAGCGCTGCATACATTGATTGGACAGCGCCAAAAATAAAGTAAAATACCGTCTTAAAGATTAACATTAAAGATGAATATGATATCAACACAAAATTTAGCGTGGTTTCACGACGACATAGCAAATTAAGAACCGATTTCTGAACATATATTAGGAATGAGATATTTTTATATTATAAAATAATCAGTGTATATTAATTAATTATTATTGAGAATAATAAATTTGATTCATTTTTAATCTTAATATACCGTCGCCGCTTTCATTTCAAGAGTATTAATTTGAATATATATTTCTTTTTTAATGTAATATAGTTAAATAGCAATTTATTTTCAATGGAAATCTCTGCGGAAGAGAGTCAATGGTCTTCTACTTCTAATTATTATTTAAATTCTGCCTGACGTACTTTATGAAGGAACCCTTATGCCTTACCTTACATTTACAAATGAACCATTACATTTAAATGCAAGCGATGACTCTTGTTTTCTGGTTTTTAAATTTCTAGTATCATTTTGTTGTAATAAAAAAAACACTTTTGTTATTAAGGATATTTAATTTACGTTTTAATATACGTAATTTTTAGTACCTGTTTGTTATAATCATAAAACATGTTTTGTATTACGTTTCAAAGGTAGTTGTCTAAAAAAGTTAGTGAATTAATAGTAGATAAGTAAATAAGTAAAAAAGTAAAAAACTTTAGTCTATGTAATCAGCTAATTCAGTTGATACCAAAAATACCAAATAAAAAAAAAGGATAACAATAACTAAAAGACTTTCCTTAACAACCATAATTGATCAACATTTCGAAGGTATCTGACATAAACTTCACAATGCTTTTGTTGACATGTACTACTTGAAGTTGAGTTTGTGGTAAGACCTAATAAGTTATTTAAGTTTTCAGCCAAAAAGAGCTAAACTTTTAAAGAAATACCATTAGCGGGTGTCAAACCAAACAAGTTTTTTATTACTTTAGATTTTTTAGATTAGCACTTTATTTCTTGTTAACTTTTTTATATAATATTTACTGTTGTAGGAATGCATTGTAAAAAATTATTTTCAAATTATGAGGAATAAATTTTACTAGCAAGTTGCCGGAAAAATCCTTTAAATCGCTCGGAAAATCACAATTCTCATGAGGTTTTTCCAAGAGACATTTTTGCAGTTATGCAATCGTGTTTTTATACCAATAATGGCAATTTATTTCATGTTTTACGCAATTAATGAATTAGAATTTTTTTTATGTTATTTTTCTATTAGTTTTGAACAATAATTAATTTTAAATAATTTTTAGAATTATTATAAAACTTTAAATTGGAAACTTTATTTGGAGAAGGGGATTTTATCTTTAAATTGGGAGTTATAATTTTATGAGCATTTGGGAAAACAGAAAACAAACAAAATTTTTTGCAAGTATAAAAAGTTGATTTTTGATGAGTCAATATACAAAATCTGCAGTTTAAGAATTGAAAAAAAATACTTTTTAGTTTCTGTATATAATAGGCTTCTATATTTTTAAAAATTTACTGATAAGATACAATTCAGTAAATAATTATAGACCTCTAAAAATGGCTGCAGCTAAAACTTAGGAAAATGTGCACCCACTTTATACCACTGGTAACCAAGGATCAACACTGGTTTTAATAAGATTTTTTTCTTCTTCTAATTTAATAGACTTTATTACAGTGGTTTCAGGGGGAAAAAAAAGTGGGTAATCATGGGGAAGTTACAAAATCAGAACAATGAAAATTACCCAAAATACATTAAAACAATAAAAATAAAGTTATTTTTGTACTTTAGTTTGTATTATATATTGTATGAATTTACAAGTATTCCATAATCAGTTCTAGAAATAAGTCTTAAATTAAGCCTGAATTAAACTCAGTATTTAAATAACCTAGCTCTTTCCTGCTCCCACCCCTCTCCCCTGTCCATTTACTTTTTAACATGCACATTTTTTCCCAGAACTTAGAAAAAAATTGTAATTGAACACTTCTCCTTATATGGTGAGTCTGGTTTTATGTCTGATGTATGAAGTGTCTTTATGCCCAAACACACCACTAAACATGCACATTTAAAAGTGAAAGTTAGGTTTTAATGCTTTTATATAAAACTTTCGAGTCTATTAGGTAACTAACTATAAGCCTATTAGGTAAAACTGAAATGAAAGACTTTTAGTCTAATTTATCTAATATTTAATATCATGATATAATACTTTTCCAATACATTAACTAGTCCACCCTTCCCCATTAATTTGACTCATTTGATTATCATTTTCAATTTTAGATTACGACTTATACCAAGTTATGATAGTTAATTGACCTGTCAACATAATGCACAAGTTGATTATGTAATAAAGAATATTATTGTTTAATAAACAATCAGTAACAACATTGAATCTTTTAGATAATTTTTTCTGAAAAACTATGTTTAAATCAAATAATTCAAATTTATGATAATTTTGCTACATAGTTATTATGTTATTAACTAATTATGTTATTGTACTTATGCTATTGTACAATGAAATAATTCAGTTTTTTCTTGAGCTGAAATGATTGATAAATGAAATAAATTATATAAAAGATAGATGAAGTAATTCAGTTTTTTCTTGAGCTGATAGTTCATACTATATTTTGATTTTCTTTAGATATTTCCACAATAATGCCTAAAAACCATTTTGCATCATAAACACATGGTATATTAATTCCTGGTGAAAGAGAAGCAACTGGAACTATATGCTGCATTTTAGGTTTTTTTAACATTAGTATATAAGTAGCATAATGTTCCAATTTAAACTTTATGCAATGTAATACAAGAGCATCAACTGGCTTTAGCTACAAGTATTTTGACAGAGCCTCCATGTGATGTAGCAAAAAATGTCATTCTGCAGATACTTTATGATCTAGTTTACTTGTTGCATTCACAACAAAAATGGCAGCATTTTAAAATAACCCTATTTTTTAATTATTGAGGGTTGAGTGCATTATTGGAAACCAGCGCCCCCCAACCTGCCTAATAGCATATTCAACGGGTGCAATTGATAATAAGTTGTTTCTTAAAAAAATGAAAGATATGGTTGATTGCCCCCATGCTGATCTGTTATTTAACCTTGGTAGGGGCACAAATAAAGAGACAATAGCTAAATAAAACTCTGTAATATTGGTAAATAGTGATACTTTAAACATAATTTACACAATTAAGGAGTGTTATATCTCAAAGTCAAAGATCTTTGTTGTTTTACATAATTAATGTTGAATAATTTTTCATAAGAATTTTATAATATATCAAGGAGATATTTATGATACATCCGGGGGCTTATAAATATAATAAAATATAACTTCTATAATAAAAATAAATGATGATTAATAAAGGAAAAACTCAAAACTTGTTAGAAACCACTTAACTTATTAGGTTTGGTTTCCAATTTTTAATTGATAATTAGTTGCTAATGTTTAAAACATTAATACAGTATAATTTTTTATTAGATAGGAGTAAAACCCTCTTGTGTTTTGGAGCTCAGGCTCATGTAATGTGGCAATAATGTCACTAACTAGATACAAATGAGTATCTGGTGTTTTTGGATATTTAAAATAATTTCCAGCTTTATGTAAACAGCTTACAGATATATAGTCACCTCTTATAAGAGACCTCTGTATTTAGCTCTTCTTTAGATTATTTAGTAAAACAACTAGAACAAAAGTTTCATAATGAGAATAGTATTTCACAGAAAATAAATTACTCGCCTTAATTCTTCTCCATCAGACCATTCAGAAAATAATAGGTGAATTTAAAACAACACAATGTATGGTTAAACAAGCTAGAGCTTTGCAAGACACTAAAGTAATTCTTGGTGAGAAAGCAACTTACATAAGAAATAAATAAAAAAATGACTTCCAAAGTTATAAATCAAATTGTCAACTTTTATGAAGATGATAGTAATAGCAGATTATTGCCAGGTGCAAAAGATTATATTAGCATAAAAACAGTTAAAGGTAGAAAAATCATTCAGAAGCGGCTTATATTACACAATCTTTCATAACTATACCAAAAATGGTATATATATATATATATATATATATATATATATATATATATATATATATATATATATATATATATATATATATATATATACATATATATATATATATATATATACATATATATATTAAAAAATAAAAAACAACTTTTTCTATGGTACTTTAAGTTTCATGCCTATACGGCAATCATCAGCCATTGAATACTATATATTACCGATGTTTGCCTAATAGGCATGAAACTTAAAGTACCATAGAAAAAGTTGTTTTTTCTTCGTTAATATATATATATATATATATATATATATATATATATATATATATATATATATATATATATATATATATATATATATGCATACGCTCTATTTGAAATATCTTTCTAATATTGAGCACTCTTTTTCGACTGAGTTTTGTTTTATTATTATAAGACAAAACAACCTTAAATATCAATATATATATATATATATATATATATATATATATATATATATATATATATATATATATATGCATACGCTCTATTTGAAATATCTTTCTAATATTGAGCACTCTTTTTCGACTGAGTTTTGTTTTATTATTATAAGACAAAACAACCTTAAATATCAATATATATATATATATATATATATATATATATATATATATATATATATATATATATATATATATATATATATATATATATATATATATATATATATATATATATATGATAGCTTACTAGGCCTTCCATGATAAATGAAAGGCCGAAGAAGCAAATTGATGATGTCATACTGAAAAAGCCATCTGTGGGGCTTCAGTATATATATTTACTAAGGGTTTGGGTTTGGGCAGGCACTATCTAAGTGTGACAAACTTTTATATTGACAAAATACCAAATAAATACTTACCAAATGTTGCTCAGTCCATTCCTCTCTATCCACATCTTCATTAGATGCAGAACAACTTTCATCACTTCCAGGATATCTCATAAAATCATCATCATAGTTTGCTTCATATTCATTATACTCATTATAACTCATTGTTTAATAGAATTATGTAACTATGAATACATTATATAATAATTATGTATAACTTATTGGATATGTTCATTATAAAACAATTATGTATAACTTATTGGATATTTTCATTATAAAACGATTATGTTAATTGTATTATGATTATTTAAAGGGTGTTTATATATACATTATAGGTTATATTTACCTAAAGGTAATTTATGTTTTGATCTTTATCTTTTATTATGTTTATCTTAATGCAACTGCATCTTTATCACCATATCATAATCAAATCTACCATATAACAAACAAATAACATCTACCATATAATAAAATATAATAATATTGAAAAATAACCATAATCTTATTTAAAAAATAACCATCATATTTAAAGTGTTCTTTTTTTTATTTTCAAGTCATAAGTGTTTTCCTAACTTTAATCCAGAATTTTGCATAACACAAAATAGTATTTAATGCTGTTTACTTCAGTAATAAGGAAAACAAAAGGTTTTCTTCAGATAAATTTACTTTAGGTAATTAAAAGAAAATTTATCAAACTTATTATAAATACATTCAATTTAATAAGTTTTTTTTTATTTATTTTTTAATTAAAAAAAAAAAAAATTAAAGCATAAACTCCTTTAAAAATTTAAAACAAAAAAAGTTTCATAAAAAGAATAGTACAGATATGAGATTTAAATAAAAAGAATTGTATAGACATTACAGTTCTATCTGACTTACCAAATGAAAAGGTTTTGAGAAGAAGCCAAATAACAATAAATTTTGACAGAATAAATTTTTAACCATTTAAAGATGCTTAAAAAAGATCAATGGACCAGCACATAAATAATGTTAAATCCTACAACTACCAAATTTGTACTCTTCATCGCATAAGCCCATATCTCACAAAAGAAGACAAAAGCATAATTACTGGTGATATTATTACCTCTCAAATTTTATCAACTAATTACCAAAAAAAACTTATAAAACTCCAAAGCATTCAAAATAGCTTATATTGCATTGTTTCTCATTCTTCTTTTCATTTAAAGTCAGAAAAACTGTTGGTTACCATGGTTACCAATTCATAAAAAATAAACTATAATATAGCAGTTATTGCATACAAAACTTTGTCAACCAAATCCTGCATAACTATCCAAATTTCAAAACAAACATAAGATCATCAAACAGCTGTCAACTTATATATCATATACACAGAACTACCCTGGGCTCAAAATTTTTCTTTATGACAGCACCTCAAATTTAAAATGATTTTTCTATGAACACACTTCAACCACTTTGGAAATACTCAAAAAAAATTAATAATAAAACATGAACTTTTTGTAGACACATCTAAAACTCATAGTAACTTGTTAAGTGCTTCTGAATTACTCAAAATAATGAATAAGTTCTTCTGAATAAATTGAAATACTTTATTACTATTGTGATTGCTGTAATCAATAGCACTTTGATACTACATATAAACTAATTTTTTTTTTTTGCTATTATTATTATTATTATTATTATTATTGTTATTATTGCTATTATTATTACTATTATTATTATTATTATTATTATTATTATTATTATTATTATTATTATTATTATTATTATTATTATTATTGCTATTGTTACTATTATCATTGCTATTATTGTTATTATTATTACTATTATTATTATTATTATTAGACAAAACTAAATTGTTTGCAAAGAACTTTTCATTAATCTAATCTCTTGATTACTCTAATCACATTCTACCTGATATAGCTGACAAAAAGGTTGATCCATTGCTTGGCATTTGCATCATTCCAGTTTTTGTATCAAAAGGGATTTCCTGCTTAGACTCTTTAATAGCTGATTTGTTAACTGTAAGGTTAGCCTTTAATTAAGTTTGGCATGCTAAAAGCTCTCTTATTATGGTGTATCAGGTAACATCTTTAAGATTATTGAACCTTCCTGTAATTTCAAGGGTTCCTTGAGGTTCTATCCTTGATCATATATTTTTTTAATTTATATTTACGATCCCCTAGAATTTCTTACATTTTTATTAGCATTGTTTGCTGATGATACAACCATTTATTCTTATCTTTATAAGAAACCAACACTCTCTGATTGCTTAGAGGGACATTTGAGCTTGAAAAGAATCTCACTTCTGCAACAGCATGAGCCTCTCAGTGGCTGGTGAACTTTAACTCAGATAAAAATCAATTTTTTTAGCTAACCCATATCGCAACAATCTAGATCTTCATATGTTTGAGAACCGTAATGTAATTGACAATCATCTACCCTTTGACTTCTGGGATTAACTCTCACTTAGGATCTTTCTTGGAAACCATACATCAAATCCATTGCAAAATTAGCATTTGCTAAGGTGGCATCTTTTTATCATGCTTTTCACTTTCTATAAATCTTAATATACATATTTATGTATATATATATATATATATATATATATATATATATATTTATGTATATATATATATATATATATATATATATATATATATATATATATATATATATATATATATATATATATATATATATATACATAAATATGTATATTAAGATTTATAGAAAGTGAAAAGCATGATAAAAAGATGCCACCTTAGCAAATGCTAATTTTGCAATGGATTTGATGTATGGTTTCCAAGAAAGATCCTAAGTGAGAGATATATATATTTATATATATATGTAGTTTTATGCCTAAAGGCAATCATCAGCCATGTAATACCTATTACATGGGTATGGTATGGTATTACATGGATGATGATGATTGCCGTTAGGCATGAAACTATTATCACTATATAAAGCTGTATTTTCTTTGTTTATAAATTATAAATAATACTCTATTAAATAATATAAACAAAACCTATTTATTTATTATTGAGCACTCTTATACATACAAGAGTCTGTGTATTTTATTTGCAAATTAAAAAAATATAATAAAAGCCCTACTTTTTTAATTTACCCATAACCTAAAATCTTTAAATTTATCAGATTGTTATAATTGTTAAATTTATCAGATTGTTATAACTGAATAAATGAAAACCAAATGGAAAATTTGATATCCTTATTCTAGATGGGATTATTATTTTATTTTATTTTTTAGCTTAAGCATGTTTTAAATATTTTCAGTTTCTTACTTCCAGTTTAGTTTTAATGTAATGATTGTATGATTGTAAAACATTGTGATTCCTCTTTTGGACCTAAAATAAATTCAAATTGGGAACACTTTGACAAAGATACACCTGAACAATCAAACACTGAGTGCAGTTGCTTTCCTGTTAATACATTAGCAACAAAGAATACTAGATAGAGAAGAAACATTTATTAAATTCAATACAGCAATTTCCTATTCAGCTCATTATAACATAAAATTAAAATGAACAAGGATAAAGTAAGAATTTGTTAAATACCTTACAGCACTCATATTGTACTCTTTATATACATCTTAAAATTGCCACTGTTTCAGCTTTATTTTAGTATTACAAATAGTTCATTTTTTACACCAGAAGATCTTGATGTAAAGCTTCCAGAAATGGGCTCTATCCAGGTCATTTAAATGATGCCTGCATGCAATTAGCAGCAGTTATATTTTTATCCAAAAAATCCATTAACTTCACAATAGCTTTTTTTTGCATTAACCCCTAAACTGCTAAATAATTCTTTTTTTTAGATGCTTCTCGTTTGTTAATTCATTCATAATTTTTTTATTGAAATCTTTAAATCTGATAGCATTTGATAACGTTTTTAAGCATTCCTTTACTTCTTTTGTCACAGCAGACACTATGTTCTTAGCAGCCATATAAGATATACAACAATAAAACTTTAAATTCTACAGAATCATCACCCATACAGTGTGACAGAGTTGCCAACATAACATGCTGAAAATTTGTCAATTGGACAGAGTTGTCAACATAACATGCTGAAATTTAATTTTACTACTTAATTAACTACTATTGTTTTACTAAATTAACTTTACTGATAATCATTTTAAGTAATATTATTTGAATTTTGTTCAGACTCTTTGATACAGCTTAATATATGTGTAATCCTTAGTTTTAATGCATCCGTCGCTGACAATTTTTTTTTTGCTGTTAATCTTTACTATTATGTATCAAATAAACCAACCTCCAATGTCCTCCAAACATTGTAAATCTACTGTTTAATGTGTATAAATAACAACGCATCATCAATACTTTACCACTTTTTGCCCTAAACAAAATTATAACAAAAAATTGGTCTTCACTTAACGGTCGGTTTTTATTAAAACGTATATTTTTTAAATATACGTTTTAATAAAAACGAATATTTAAAAAATATGTTATGAACACAAATATTGTCCACAATAGCTTTCCATAGTTATTAAAGCGAAGTTGTGCAAATACAAATATATAAAAATTATTTCATGACATGAATGGTGATAAACGTTTATGGCGCGGTGATTATCCACATGTTTGCGTTCTGTCTGAAACTCTGGCTCCGGTGTTCATTCACCCGTACGTTTCAAAACGTATGTTTGTGTTCTGTCTGAAACACTGCAATGGTTCAGACAGAACACAAACCAGTGCACTGGCGCGGTGTTCATTCACCCGTATGTTATAATATGTACGTTTGCATTCAGTCTGAACCTCTGGCGCGATGTTTGCTCGAACTTAAGTTACTATGTGTATGTTTGTGTTCTGCTTAAATCTCTAGTGTAGCTTGCTAACCGACTAGTGACTCCAACAGCGAAACTTACGCTCTCCTTTATTTCCAGCTTTTTGTTCGCCTAATATCGTTAATATTTTTCCTAATGCAATTCAAAAGTTTCCTCCTCAATATTTTAAAGTAGAGGAATTAACTTTTTTTAACTACAGCTTTAAAACCCAGTTTAATGGTTCTGTGACCGGCAGGAGTAAGGTTTCCCAAACTTTGTAACAGCTTTCAGAGAGGCTGATTCTATCAACAGCTGTAAAATATCAGTGTTAACAGCGCCATGTTGCTTTTGGATAGTGTGCTTTTAGTTCCTTTGGTAATGCCTAAAGTAACCAGTAATATTACACAT